TTTTTTTTGGAATAGCCCTAAAGGTGGGTCACTCTCTTCAACGTGGCGTAACCAGGAGAGGGTTTGGGGTACCCAGCATAGCCAGTGCGCGACCGGGGAAGGGAGGTTTGCAAGTGACCGAAAATGTTTTACGTAATTTATGCACGGTTTCCGATCCCTTTTACCGTGATGAGAATATCTTTGATAGGAGCTTGGCGCGAAGAACTTACCCTTGCAAAGTACTAAACAGCATCTGCGCAATGGATGATCTCGAGGTTACCGAATATCTACACTGAAATCGAACCCAGGAGGACCTCGCAGAATGATGTTTGCACTCACAATAGTAAAAATGGTCGACATCGAAGGTCTGAAGCGCGTCTCTGTGCTGTGGAAACACCTGAAAATACATTGGTGTATCAGGGCTGACGGCCACACACCTGCATATATCGTACGCATATTAATTAGGTGCTTGCATCCTAATTTACTCTGATGTTTAGCACCGTCATCCACATTTCCACTAGTTAAGCGTAAGTTTTAAAAGAATAACGTCAGGTTTAAAATTACGATAACATTTGTCAAGGCCGTCAAAACATCGTAAACGACCAACGGTGACTGCTGTCATCTAGTATAGCGCGCATTTCGTCACCCATCTTACACAGCTGTTTGTTGTTGGCAATCTCTCCCCAGTTTTATCGTTGCCCTCCTTCCGGGTACACGCCGTCCGAACCACGACTAGAGTGCAGAGAAGTACGTGTCGAACTCACCGGTCACGAGCTGGGTGCTTGACGGTGGCAATTGCTGAGAGGATGGAGGCGCGCCGCGGTGTGCCGCTGAGCAGGTGCACCATAACCTTTATAGACTTCTGACGGAGGGTGACCCCTAGCTGCGCTGCTGTTCTTCCCAGAATGAGGCTCTGCCCTTACACTCCTGCGTATGACATTCGGAAATGCCTCCGCAAACCCAGCACATGATTCCGTCTGGGTATCAAAGCAGGTGCATAACAATCGACCAGTACCGCCTGCTGCGTTCCAAGAGCTGACGTTGCGATGAAAACGCCGCCGCCAGGATTGGAGGGAGAGCACCTAGATGAAGATGACATAACATACACCACTGTTTGGCCCGCTTCCATGCCGTGCAGACAACCCTCCCTCCCCAAGTCCGTAACGGGCGCCAGATGTCCCCGGCAGCGAGGGCGAGACTGCAGATGTACAACGACCCATGCCCCCCTGTCATCTCGTGTCCAAATGAGGTTGCCGGCAGACGGCTGGGAAGACCGCAAAACCGTCCAATATCCCTGGAAGACGCGGCTCATACCGCAGTTGGGCCAGCGTACGGGAAAAAAATCGAACATGTGGTTAAGACTGCAGTATTCCTCAGGCCTGCTACAGAGAACTTTGTCCAGAGAATTGAGCGGCACTTGTACGGGCTGCTGCGTAATTGAAAATCGAGTACATGTCGAAACAGGACGACGAAAGACGGCGTGCGATTGGTAGTTGTTAGACAATGTCCATATTTTGTTTCTCTTGATCGAGGGTGGTTGGACTAAGAACTGGACTAAGGACTAAGAAACCATCTCCCCGTCAAAAGCAAAAGCAATCTCCGGGTCTTCCCGTGACAGTTCTTGTTGCTCTGTTTGACATCACAGAGCCTGTGCATGTTAAATGCCATGTGCCACAGGTATTGAAAGTGAGAAACAAGACAAGCTGTGTAGTTGTGCATTGATTTCGTTAGTAATGGTAATCACTGTTTAAAGACAGAATACTTGCAGTTGGTCTGACATGTTCTGAGAGCTGGGACCACACTACATGAGCAGGTGATTTTCAGTTATAGTCTTTAGCGGAGATGATGTCAGAATTAGCCTTGATGTCAATAAATAGCTTACTTTAAGTCAGGTTTTCCTTTTGGAAAACTATGTCCCTGTCGAGTTTTTTTCGTGGGGTGGGGGAGGATGGAGCTGAACAATGAACAACAACAGAATCTACCCCAAACACACACCAGCAAATGTGTCATTCCCGGACTTTGCCCAGCTTCTTCTCAAAGTTTGGGGGCCGGTGCCCAAGTTGGGAGCCGACGTTCCCTTTCTCAACTGAAAAAGAAAACAACTTAAAAACGAATTACAAACACCTGGTTTGCGATTGGGCCAATTGCTTCACTATTGTTGTTTTTAAATGTGAGTGCAGCGGCCTCAGACTGCTGCTGCCGCTGCTGCCCCGGACTTGGTGCGCGGCGACTGAACGACCGACGACGTGTGCCAGTGCCTGCTGTGCGACCACGTCGATACGTTGTGGTGCAGCTCGACTCGGAGTGCACCGGCGTATGAGAACGCCTCGAGCCGCCGCTGCCCAGTGTCTTCTATCCGTTCGTCGCGTGCCGCGCATCTATCGCCGCCGCTCAGCGTCACGATCGGGCTGGTGAAAGTGCTCGTACGGAAAGTGTCGTGACGTGCGAAGACCGCATGGCGATGATGCAATGATGATGGCGGCCTGGCGGCTCCTCGCGCCACCAGCACGGGCTGTAGCCAAGATGGCCGGAGCCAGCGTACTGCTGCATGAACGGCCATATGACCACCCATAACGAATGAGTGGCAGGCTGACGGTTCCTCGCTGTGTGATTCTAAGCATCGGAGTTGGAATATGTACCAGACAATTTGATCATGCATTTTCGCTGAGTGCGTCAATAGACTCGGTAACTAGGGGCGGGGGGGGGGGGAGCAAGGGCAGGGGCGTCTCAGCCCCAGCGTTAATAAATTGTAGCGTTGCTGCAACGGATTTAACTGAAATGAATTAATCAAAAAGGACTGCCGGCTCTCAAAGCTGGGAAAAATCCAGTACCACCTTTCAGGTAGGATCATTGTGGCTTGACAGAGCGCGCTGTTCTGCGGTCGCACTGGCGATCAGTTATGAGCGCCGGTGCGAATGGGCTTGGCTCAGTTATCACCGGTGGCTGCGCAGCTGTGTGAATGGACCTTTCAGATTCTGTAGCCGATTTTCGCTACCGCTGACAAAGTGCGGTAGTGTTGGTTTGCGACGCTCTGTGACATTGTCATCAGGTCTGGTAGTGACTAGGCCCAATGCCTTATCGAATGGTTATGGACGCTGCATATCCTTTTGTAGAACTGCTGCCCTCTTGAAATTACCTTGGTCCGCAAAATGTAATATATGCTATGCATTGGCAGCGTTTCTGGTAAAGTAACGTAATGTGAATTGAATGAAGTCGGGGAAAAATGAGAAGCGCAGCATGGCGCGATAAGTTAGGGATGCCATCGACACACACGATGCGTACTTGTCTATGTCCATATTTGAGCATCTATTAAGGTTCCTCGCCTGTTTGTAGTGGCCCGATCAGCTGAAGTCAGTTGAGGGTCGTGCGAACTATTCTGATTTTTAAAACAAAAGGTATTGCTCTCATTTAAACGTGTAATTTTAAAACGCACCATCTTAAAATACACTTGATCGCATGTGATCTTAGCTGGAGTAGTGTTGAATACAGTCAGGATTTTCATTTTCCTGCTATTGCATCAGCTCCAGTTGATAAACTTCTGGAAGCGGTTCAGTACACCCACCTTTGCAACATTCTCACACATCACAATAATGAAATAATTGGCCTACTTGCAAACCAGGGGTTTGCAATTCGGTTTTAGTTATTCTCCTTCTCAGTTGGGGGAGGGGGACTTCGGCTCCCAACTTGGGTACCAGCCCCCAAACTTTGAGAACAGGCTGGGCCTTCCTTTGCTCTGTATTTTGTATCATGCCAACCCTGCGAAGGATGCCAGAAACAGCCCGAGAGCTATTTAATTCTATGCGTTTGGTTCAATGCAAGACAAGATGATGGCGACAAGTTGTATGCAGCTTCTGTGTTCCAGTTTACGAGATTATTTGGTAGACATTTTGAGAAGATTTCACTTCAGTTGACAAAGCTGGTTCTAAATTAAGCTTATCCATCAAAAACAAAGTTAATTCTTACATCAACCCCGACAAAGACTTCATCTGGAAATCACCTGATAATGTGGTATGGTCCCAACTTTTAAAAAAAATGCTACACCAGCCGCTCGCATTTGTTTTTTAAGCAGTATTCAAATTCACTAAGGAATGCAACATACGACCACACAGCTGCAGTCTTGTCTCTCACTTTCAACACCTGCGCCACATAGGCTTTTAACATGTACAGACCTTGTGATGTCAAACAATAAGAGGAACAAAAAGTATCATGGGGGAACCAGTGACTGCTTTTGACGGGGGATGGCTTCTTGGTCTGGCCCAACTAACCCTGATCAAGACACACAAACTATGAACAGTTCTTCATTTACGTTGTCCGACAACTACCAATCGTATGCGGTCTTTCGTCATCCTATTTCGCGGCGTGCTCTCGATTTCGAACTGCGCAGTAGCCCGTTCAAGTGCTGCTTGATCCTCTGGAGAATGCTCATTTTAGCAGGCCTGAGGAGGTTAATACAGTCTCAACCATACGTCAGACTCTTCTGCAGTCCGCTGGCCCAACTGCGGTATGAGGCGCGCGCCTTCCAGAAGCAGGAGGCCCAGTCGCGGAGTGAGCCGCGCCTTCCAGGAACAGTGGACGGTGGGCCGGTTTTCCCAGCCGCCCTCCCGCAGCCTCAGATTTAGACACGGAATGACAGAGAAGCATGGGTCGTTGTACGTCTGCAGTCTCATCTCGCTGCCAGGGGCATCTGGCAGCCGTTACGGAGCTTCGGGAGAGAGGGTTGCCTGCACGGCATGAAAGTGGGCCAAACAGTGGCGTATGTTATGTCATCGTCATTTAGTTGTTATTTTTTGTCGCAACGTCAGCTCTTCAAACGAAGCAGCCGGTCGATTCCATTGTGCATTGTCTATTGTTATACATCCATTTCGATGCCCAGACGGAATCATTTGCTGCGTTTGCGGAGGCATTTCCGAATGTTATACGCAGGAGTGGAAGGGCAGTGCCTCATTCTGGGAAGAGCAGCAGCGCAGCTAGGGGTCACCTTCTGTCCGAAGCCTATAAAGGTTATGGTGCACCTGCTCAGTGGCACACCGCGGCGCGCCTCCATCCTCTCAGCAATCGCCACCGTCAAGCACCCAGCTCGTGACCGGTGAGTTTGACACGCCCTTTTCTGCACTCTAGTCGTGGTTAGACGGCGTGTACCCAGAAGGAGGGCAAAGATAGAACTGGGGAAAGTTTGCCAACAACAAACATTTGTGTAAGACGGGTGGTGAAATACGCGCTATACTAGATGATAGTTGTCATCGTTGGGCTTGTGCGATGTTTTAACAGCATGAAACAAATGCTATCGCAATATTAAGAATGCTGTCGCTTTTTGGAAACTAACACTTCATATGTGAGAGTGTGGATGATGCTACTATATATCAGAGTAAACTAGGATGCAAGCACCTAATTAATATGTGTACGATATATGCAGGTGTGTGGCCGTCAGCCCTGATACACCAATGTATTTTCAGGTGTATTCACAGCACAGAGACGCGCATCAGACCTCCGATGTCGACCATTTTCACTATTGTGAGTGCAAACATCATTCTGCGAGGTCCACCTGTGTTCGATTTCAGTGTAGATATTCGGTAACCTCGAGATCATCCATTGCGCAGATGCTGTTTAGTACTTTGCAAGGGTAAGTTTTTCGCATCAAGTTTCTATCAAAGCTATTCTCATCATAATAAGAGAGGTCAGGAGCCGTGAATAAATTACGTTAAACATGTTTGGTCATTTGTAACCCTCCCTTCCCCGGTCGCGCATTGGCTATGCTGGGTACCCCAACCCCTCTCCCTGTATGCCACGTTGAAGGGAGTTTCCCACTTTTGGAGCACTTTATTCAACGTGGCGTGTTATTTGTTCCAAAAATATTGTCTGGTGAAACCTATTACCTTGGAACCCAGGGTTCTTACGAACCCCCCCCCCCCTTTAAATTGACATTCTGAGCAATTCAGAAGACTTGTAAGACATCGGGCACCGCCAGCAAAACAAAGCACGTCTGTTCTAACAGTACATGAAAAGTACACGCAAAGCTGCATACTCCATTTAAGCGTAGCGCCTACAGAAAGCAACGTCCGCTTATCCGCATGTTAAGCTAAAGACGCGGAAGACATGACCGGTGTGTTCTTTGTTATGGAGAAAGCTAACGGTATTTGGTTTGTATAATTTTTTAATTAACTTTGAATATTTCAGCATTAGTTGTCACCATACCACAGCGTAACGTTACGCTGTCCAAGCCCTTACCTTTCCTGCCTGGTTACTCCACCGCTAAACACCATCAAATACTTTCCACACTTTTCATCAAACACTTTCCACCTCCATGCGTAACATAATTTATAGAGGATCTCTTACGACGACCCTGGGAAGCGACAAGTCACGTCTGTTGCCACTCTTCACGTCTGCTACTCACTGGTGCCATCATCAATGATCGCGAGCTGTTGTGCACCCCTGTCATCAGCACCGTGTACCGGCCGCGGCTGCTGTGTTCGTGTGCGGCGGTGTAGCGGCTGCTGTGTGCTGTACCGGCCGTTGCTGTGTGCCACAGCTGATGCTGCTGCTGGCCACCCTGAGTATGGTCAGCGGCCGCTGCCCGGACAACTGCCCAGAAAACTTCCACTGTCGGCTTAACAAACATTGTTACCCGGATATCGACTTCGGTGACACGTACCGACACATCTGCTGCCCGGGACGTCATGGTCGATGAACTCATGGATGTGACTTGGAAGAAACACGACAGACGGTACAAGACACCATAGACACACGTGGACCCCGGAGTGAGCGGGCGTCGGTAGGCGTGGAGCACCGCGGCATGCCAGCCAGACAGAGAAGGATAAGAGTTCAAATCGGAGTAAGTTGTGTCGCCATTGCTGGCATTGATTTGGAACTTCCGGCTACTATTGAACGTTGAAAGTGTGATGGTCTTTACACAGCACGCAATGAACCGGAGACTTTGGTCACGTGTTGGATATGCTTGACATGTTCACGTTGCGTTTTCGTGTGGGAGAAATCACAGAAAAAAATATGTGAAGCGCATGCTATTGTTTATGATTGGGCAGTGTTATGGTGATAACGCGCACTGCTGCGCAATGCACGCACCACGTACGCAAACGCATGTCTCTGGCATAAGTATGGTGACAATGTGCACTGCTGTTCATCGCATTGTTGAACACGCATGACAGCCAACAAACACAACGTGAATAATTTAAATTACTTGTTTGCTAGGCATGCAAAACATCAAAAGAGCTCGGGGCCCACAAAGCCCTCGGCGCTGAAGCTTGAGGTGCATCGTGGGTATGGTAGCGTCTCTGCAGGCTGTAACAATCTTTATTCAAAGGGCCCGGATGATATAACCCAGATATTGACAGCCGACTTCTGACATGGCTAATTATATGCTGAAATCTTGCGTTGACGCACCAGCGCTCATTGCTTGTATCTTTAACCCACATCCTTATCCGCTTGGCGTGTATTGAAACATCCAGAGTTCACAACGTCCAAACGTCAACGTAGCGTGGTCCAAACGTCCCAAAATCGCAGCATCCAGTGTTCATAACATCCAAAATCATCCCATGTCCCTGGACAGGAGAGAATCATAACATTCAAACTCTCGGCATCCGAAGTTGCAACATCCAAAATTCATAACGCAAACAAGTTCACAACACTCAACATAACGCAAAAATGGAACGTCCAAGCTAGAGCACCGTACGGTTTGAACCTTCAGGATCCTGCCTGATCTGATCTGGACAGCCTAAACCCGACCTGCTCTCCAATTCGCTTTCTCAGATTTATAAATGCAGTCCAATCTGTCCCAGCTTAACAGAAAAAAAATGATAAAATGAATCCGTGCGGATTCCTTTCAACACTTATTACGTCTAAAAATGTTAGCAGCAAATTGTGTACACATGATAACCTTAAAGTTTGCTGAGATAGTGTTTTTCATTGACAAACACGTACAGCTGGATTGCACCAGCGGTTCGTTGTGCACACTAGTAACATGACTTACTGCCAACTTGGAACAAAAGATTGCATGAACAGCAGAACACAGACACATAGTCGTGAGGGCGACTATGTGTCATAAAAGCCATCAGGACGTTTTTAACCACATCCCAACTATTCTTCTCCATTTCACAAAAAACACCACATTAGGGAAACATGCTCTCTGGCTGGAACATTGTAAGACATATTGCCTCACATTTTCAGACAGGGTTCGGTGCGCTGGGTGTTTTGCAGTTTCCAGTTAAAAAGCACACAGAAGGTCATTAAGCACGCCTTTAGGGTGAAAAACGATCAACTTATCTCATTTATCACAGTTCATGTATTTCTGTCCATGGACACCCCAAATGGTGCTTGGTTTAAACCACCATGTACTGCTAGGCTGCGCTATTTTTTTCCCATTGCCTTAGGGAGAAAGAGAGAGACGGGGGGAAAGAGAGAGAGAGAGGGGAGGGGAGAGAATCTAGAGCCACAGCGTTTCGTTAAAATCGCAGGATAAAAGAGTGATGTTTGCGTAGGCTTTCTCTGAAGGGTGTTTCAACCTATCGCAGAATTTATCACACAAACAAATCAGTGTGTTGCAGATATTATATCACACAAACTTCGGAAAAAGCAAGGCAGGTAGACTGAAGTGCTTTCACGGTGGTCAACAGGGAGCCACTGATCTTATTTCCCGTAGTAGCAGCTAATTCAAATAAAATTTGTAAGTTATTTGGAACGATTTCGAGAAAACTAGTATTTCCTATGAAATGGGCTGTGTTATGTTAGTAAAGCCCCGTGCCCTGCGTTAGTTAGAAGAAATGGTTTACTAACAAAAATAGAACACTAGAAAAGGTGGCTTACTCGGTTTAAAGAGAACGTTCCACATTTTCATGTAGTTTTGAACTGGACTAGCCATTTCGAAGATAATTTAGCACAGTTCACATACGGAACATGCCATGAAACTTTTTGGGAGGAAATGACAAACACTGACACAACATCCTAGGGCATGATGACTGCATCTGTTTGTCTGGGCCAGTTTTTCCAGGTCTTCAGTCAGTTTCCTTTCTGAGTTTTAGATAAAAGTTGCGACATTTACTGTTGCCTTCTAGCGACTTTCACGTAGAAATACTAGGTACCGACCACGCGTGGGGGCGCCCATTGCCTTCCATGATGTGCATATGAAAACAATGCTGTCGTAAGCTCCAGGTCAGGACGGGGTACGGGCGGGAAACAAAGTAACGAACGTGACGAGCGGCGCTGGCTGTTTACTTTAGTCTTCCGTCTGTGCGGGCTCTTCCAAGTTATTGACCATCCACATTATCTCGATACATCCGAAAACATCTTAGCTTTAAAGCGCTACGATGTGTTACATGAAAAACAGCACGTGACACGCCTTGATATCGCCGCTGGTCTTTGGCCAGTGGTTAAGTTTCCCATGGTAAGGATGGGTCTAGTTAGTGGCTATTTGATCATAACACTTGTACCCTGTACCTTAATTCATGCAGACTACATACTATTGTTCCATATACTTTAACACGCGGAAGTGAGTTGGAGGCAACTCAGCACGAAGTTGTATTTTTTGCAGTACTCTGATGTACACCGAACAACGAAATACGACCTACCCAATATAAGTCACGACCAATGACCTGGCTTGGCAAGAGCCTGGTCACTGTGATTCAAGCTAAGGCTCGAAAAGAAAGCGAACTTGACCAGATCGCGCTCTGGTATGGGACATGGTAGCTCAGTAGACCGACAGGCTGCGGGACGGTATTGTGGAGATCGCGACGATATCGCGATTCTTGACAAGCACAGGATGGGCTGCTGCGATGATAATGAGCACAGGATGGGCTGCTGCTATGATGATGAGCACAGAATGGGCTGCTGCGACGATGATGAGCACAGAATGAGCTGTTGCGATGATGATGAGCACAGAATGGGCTGCTGCGATGATAATGGGCACAGGATGGGCTGCTGCGATGACGATAAGCACAGAATGAGCTGTTGCGATGATGATGAGCACAGGATGGGCTGCTGCGATGATGAAGAGCACAGAATGGGCTGTTGCAATGATGATGAGCTCAGAATGGGCTGCTGCGATGGTGATGAGCACAGGATGGGCTGCTGCGATGATGATGAGCACAGAATGGGATACTACGCTGATGATTAGCACAGAACGGGCTACTGCCCTGATGATGAGCACAGAATGGGCTGCTGCGATGATGATGAGCACAGGATGGGCTGCTGCGATGATGATGAGCGCAGAATGGGATACTGCGCCGATAATGAGCACAGAATGGGCTGCTGCGATGCTGACGAGCACAGAATGGGCTGCCGCGGTGATAATGAGCACAGGATGGGCTGTGACGATGATATTGAGCGCAGAATGGGCTACTGTGATGATGATAAGGACAGAATGGGCTACTACAATGATGAGCACAGAATGGGCTGTCGCGATGATGATGAGCACAGAATGGGCTGTTGCGATGACGATGAGCGGTGGGCGGGACGACGATGAGCAAGTGAGATTGTAGGTGACACCTGATAACCTGTGCGAGAGCGTATGACGCGGCCGCAAGCTGTCGGTCGCGCATTGATCTGATAGTGGTGTGCGACACGGCCGAGAGGTATACAGAAATTGATCTGGTGACCTGTGCTGGGGTGTGCAGCAAGGCTGCAAGGTGTTGCGTGTAAACTGGCACTTACGTAGGCGTAGATGTAGACACTAACGTAGGTGTAAACGAAGACTGTTGTGTTGTGAGTGACTGACAGCCTGAGTCTTAGAGCCTAAACCTGTGTACTGTGCCTGTACGCTGTGCCTATGCGGGGGACGCGTGAAACTGCCGGGAGGAGTCGTGTGTGAACTGTGGAACTGGAAAATTAATGAGCATTCTCTAGGTCTCTAATTTTGTAATATAATAATAATATTAAGACACGGAGAGAACAAACCCATTAAAAGCAGCAAGCTTATCACAGCGTGAGTCACAAAGTTCTGTTTCAGATGTAATAGTGCTGGGCCGGGATTGCCCATCTCATTTAAGTACATTGTACGGAAGTGTAACACTCGTTGTCAGGGGAATAATTTCGCAAAACCAGTTGAAGAAAGGACAAATGAAAAATGCAACCGAAAACTTCATCGACACAGGTACGTGATTTATTATACCCATTGTTCCTATAAGGTTGCGGGGGTTGTAGGAAGGGATGCAGAATAAAAACTTGGGTCGTCTCCTGCATACTGCGCTACCTGTAATAATATCTGACACATTCGTAAGTCAGAGATGGATAGCATTTCACTGATAACCGTGCTAATGTAAAAACATTTCATCTGCGTAGATTGTCTTTTAGATGGTTTAATTCGCTTAGAAGACAAGTACGTCAAGCAGAGCTGTTTCTATATTTTGTATAAAATATTTGATCTGTATTCAAGAGATACAGTGAATCCCGTTCAGGAGCGTCTCCATCTATGCAGTGGAACTCTACAGCCTTATAACTTGAATAGAGGAAGCTGGATTACTTTTGCATAGGGTGCGATATAAGTCAAAAAGCATAGATAGGCAAAATATTAATGATACCACTTGAATTTAGTTTGAACCTTGGGGTTATCAGCTGTAAAGGAAAAGATCAATGATGTCAATTCGAATTGGCCTCAGCCTGAGGAAAATTAGCCAGCTGACGCCCGATGTCCAGCCGCATCTGAATAACCAGGACAATACTTCACACAGCTGTACGGCGCGGCGTACACCAACAGTGAAA